CAGTTAGGTCTATTCATAGATCCTGAGAATGCAACTGCTGATATAAATTCTCCTATATGCTCTACTAATATTGATTCCACTATTAATGTCTCACTTTCAACACTTAAACACACATACTTGCAGAAGTATACAGGAATTTGTTCACATATGATGATTTTATATCTCAGAATTATATATATATATATCTTAGATGAGTTAATTTTAGACAAACAAAAATAAGAAAACTTTCCACAAATTATATGATGGGTGTATTAATTTACAGAAATAATGTGGCTATCTTTGACCTCTGTCCTGTGGGGATAAGTCACAGAGAATGAGGCAAACAAACCAACAAACATAAAGAGACAAACACACAATGATGAGCTTACATACTAATGAGCTTACATATTGGGCGTTTATTCACTACCATATTGCTCCCTGACCCTGGCTCCCCAAAAGTGAGCTCCCCATTATATTTGTTATCAAATATAATGAGGACAGTTGGTAAGCACATCAAAATTCATTAAGTACATTAAGAGCTGTGATATTTCACACAGCCAATCAGCAGCAGTCTTAAAAAGTTGTAACAATGACCTATATTTTGTCTACATAGTCACATTGCCCTGTCCAATTATACTCTCCAAATACCCTAAACTCTTTCATTCTATCCTTTCCTGCCTGGGCACACATTTGCTTGCTGGTAGGCTCATGTTCCTTCACCACATCTCTTCTGCATCTCTTTTTTCCTAAGAGCACGGTTCCTTGACTAAGACCTAAACTGTTTGGCCCAGAGGACTATCCCACCTTGGCTTTTTGTTCTCTTAGGAGAAATGGTTTCCTACAGATGTGAAAAAGCATTCCAAGGGAGAAGTTTATATAAGGTAATATAACTATTTAAAAATGAACTATAAGGTTATATCACTATTAAAAGTGAACTATGAAAAATGAAGATATTGGTTAGAGTAAATCATAAAAAACATAGGTTTCATACTTATTGAGCTTTTATGCAATGAGAAATGCAAAAATAAATATATGTGTAAAAGCGAAATAAAAAAGCAAAAAGAGAGTAGGTATTCTATAGAATTATACTTTCAGATAGAATTTAGGAGGACAAATATACTCTCAAGTCATACAGACTAATAACTATAGGCAGATAGCAGAACTCACTTTGTTCTAGTAGGGAAAGTTTACTTTGAAGCAAGGAGATGACTCAAAGAGCTGTACTGCTTGCTTTTCATGTGGGAATCCTAGGTTTGATCTGTGGAATAGTATAGAACCTGAGCACCATCCTGAGCCCCGAGATATGCACATAAAATCAATAATAATGAATAAGATATTTTACTTTGGGGACAGCCTTCTATTCAAAAGCCAGCTCTCAAATCCACAAGATTTATCAATATTCCATGTCATTGTTAGTACATGCCATTCATTTAGGAAAACAGATGAGTGAGTCATCATTAAAAATTCTCTTTTCAGCATATTTTATTTAAAAACTACACATAAGAAAACATATTCATGGAGAAGTACTTGAAACAGAATTGTTTATCTCTCATCTCAAGATTCAGGAATCATTACAAAGAATATTTTGCAGGTATATGGCTGAATCACATATTCCTCCAATCACATATCCTTTTGATATAAATGCATATATTTTACCACCCATTTTTCTGGATCATCTATTTATAGTTAGAGGTTTATATGTAAGCATATGAGTATGTATGCTTTTTCTCATTTATTTTCTTAAACTATGTTTACATAATGCTTAAAATGTGTATTGTTAAAGTGGTACTAAGAAAAACCAATGCTCTTAAAGCCATCAAGATGAGCACAAAAAGAAATAATAGCAAAAACTGCCAGCTGCCTGCTTATCATCAATTTCCATTTTCCCTTTTAACTTTACAACAGAAAAAAAAATAATGACAATAGACAGTGAAACTTCTAAAGATTCGTATTTGCATAGATGCATGATCAAGTGCTATAAACTTCTTAAAAATATTCTCCTTTGTGGTAAAATGCATGCCTCTGGAGGACATGTGTGTATTTTCGGACATTGTCTGTAAGGAGACAAAGACAGCACAAAACACAGTAAAGGACCAAAAAATTAGTAAGGAAACTAAGAATCATGGTATGGAGAATTAAAAAACAAAAAAACTTTCATGCCAGAGAAGTTGTTCAAATGGTAGAGCACATGCCTCTCATGTCAGACAGCCTGCATATGACTCCTGGCATCTGCTGGAATGCCTCCATCCCCAACATCACTGCACCATCCTTACTGCTCCCAGAACACTGCTGGGTTGAGTATCACACAACCAGAACATCAAACAGACACTGTCAAGCGTAGAACTGCTGCATGTCACCACTATTAAATAAAAAAAAATCATGGTTCTTGTTGGTTTGTTTTAGTAATGAAATAAGATATAAAATCATTGTACATCTGGGCCTATTATTATTTTAGTTAACAAAACCTTATGTTAAACAAATTCTGGGGAGAATATTGCATGCATATTTAGACATGCATGCGATTCTAAATCTAAGCATATACAACTTGACAGGTTGTATGTAAGTGTTCTTCTGAATAGTATACTATGTAATAAAGCTTACAGGAGCCGAGATAAAGCTCAGTGATATAACACCTGTCCTGTATGTGTGAGGCTGCAGTAAGCAACACTACTCCACCTCACTGTAGCATCTCCAGCCCTGCTGAGGGTATCTTTAGTGTTAAAATCAAGTACAAAAGCTCCTTAACAAATAGTCTAAAACTCAGCACAGCAAAATTATTAGTGTGTCCATATCAACAAAGAGCATGAACAAGCTCTGAGACACCACAATAAGAAAAGAAAGGAAAACAAAATGATAAAACATGCAAAATAGTATCTCATTTTTCAAGTACAACATTTTAAAGAAATTGAGGTTTTGAAAATGTGTGACACTTCAAAAATTACTAACCTATATTCAACAAATCACATATTACAAAATGTAGATGTTCTTAAAATAAAGGGTCTCTGCTTTTACTTCTCAGATCTTTTTTATTTTCCTTCAACATGAGGAATAAATTTCAGAAGATTAAAAAATCCTTAAATGATCACTCTATACAAAAATCATCTGGATTAAGCTTAAACATTAAACTAAATTTGTAATTTGTTTTATTACCATATTAATCTGATGAAGATAAACTAATTCACAGATACATTTCTTTGCAAATCAACAAGTGCACAGACCCTCATCTGCACTCTAACACTCCAATTTTATAATGTCAACTATTTACAGTTCAATGATTGCAGTGTTAAAACCAAGTTTACCTTAGAAGTTCATAGATCCTAAGGCAGAGTCTATCAACATTAAAGATTAAAGATAGAGGGCAAATGCCTTGGGTTGCATATTTTTACTTTATCTGCTTATTGCAGAGTCTGGCAAACTCCCCATGGCGTACCCAATATGCCAAATACCAGTAACAATAATGGGTCTCATTCTCCTAACCCTGAAAGAACCTTGAATGTGGCACTTTTTAGAATCTCAGGGCTAGGACGAAGGAGACGTTACTGGTGCCTGCTCGAGGCAATCGAAGAACAACAGGATGATTGTGATGGTGATCTGCTTATTGAATGGAATTAACAAAGTCCTGGAAGGAGGGTTAGTAATAAGAAAATTAGTTCACAGCTTTCTTGTGAACTAATGCATTTCTTGTTATGCTTCAGAATGTTCTGTTATAAATGAGGGCAAAGGAAAAGCAATGTGAAAATTTATAGTTAAGAAAATGGAAATATGCCCCCAGATTCATTGTTGCATGGAGTGAATGTTTGAAAATATAGGATGACATTATGGGAACACTTTCTGTTGACTGTAAGTCAAACATAAAGGTGCCAAGAAGATAAGTATTAAGTCTTAAGATAATATATGTCTTTATTACTGCTCTAAGTATAAAACTTCAGAATTTTCAATCACTATATACAAAAGGTGTTTCTCCCGTTTAATTTAAATCTAGAATTTTTCACATAGCAATTACAAGATAAAGAAAAAAATAAGTAATGGTATGCACTAAGTAACTTTTACTTGTTATTCATTAAGCATTTTATTTTAAATTTCTACTACTAAGAGACATATAATTCTTATACATTTGACCATACAGATGCAGCACAAGCACAACTAATGGTCCTTGGCTCTTAATTCCCCTGCTAAAATGGGTAAAGGATAAAAATTCTGGGAGAAAGGTCAACCTTAGAAATTTATCTGATCTTGACCTGCAGTGTGAAATTCCTTTCTATTACATGATGTCTATTCTCTACCCTGCAACTTAAACAGAGAAATACACTATTTCCCTCATCCCTGCCCAGGAAGTCAAGAGACAGCATCCCTACCTCAGCCCCCTCTCCTTATCTCGTCTTATGTTTGTTTTTGTGTTTTATTGTTTTTTATTTTGTCCTTCCTTCTGGACAAACCCCTATTCTGTCTTGAACACTTCTCTCTGTCTCTCTCTCTCTGTCTCTCTGTCTCTGTCTCTCTCTCTCTCTCTGTCTCTCACACACACATATCTCTATATCCTTCTCTCCCTTCTTCTCCCTTAGCTCTCATTTCATTTTTAAAATATAAAACAATTTTACTTAAAAAAAGAAAGAGAAATCAATAACCTGTATCTAGAAGTTTCTTAATAACAGGGGTTTATTTAGGAGTCTCTGTAAGTCAAGAATGTTAGTCACCTGTGAATAGTACTCTTGAAAACTTACTCAGTATGCATATTTTCTTAAATGTAAATATTCAAAAATGTATTCCCCAAAGCAAAATTAAAGATTAAAAAGGTATTTTAAAAGATGGCCATTTTTATTAATAATATGCCCACCCCAAATCATACCTATATCTATTTCCCTTAATCAAATAGGTCAAAAAAGAAAGCATCTTTAATGTAGTTCAATTCACCTCTACTTCTTGTAAAAATCTAGAAATTACACATTAACTAAAAGGTATTTTTTGAAGAGTAGGTATTGAGCTAGCTATCTGGCATGAGAGACAAAGAGAAAGATGCTGACCTTAAGTAATAAATCCTTCTTCCCATAATGAATATCCTTCAGCTGGGCTTGAATTTTTTTTGCCTGCAGGAGCAGAAACATGGATTAGTGCATTGAGTTCATTTATATTTTAAACTTAAAACTGAAATTCTTTCAAACAATGATAAAATTTTCAGTCAAGCAAAAAGGAGCAATACTTGTTTGAATGTAGCCTGCCCACACGGCAGAGTCTGGCAAACTCCCTGTGGCGTACCCAATATGCCAAATACCAGTAACAATGATGGGTCTCATTCTCGTAAAGAGCCTTGAATATAATCTCAGGGCTAGGATGAAGGAGACGTTATTGGGGCCTACTCGAGGCAATCGACGATTAACAGGATGATTTGTGATTTGTGATTTGTGACTTGTTTGAAAGTAAAACAGAATAGCTTAGTCCCTGCTTTGGGGGTTGAATATTCATAAAGCTATTCTAACTAGAAAGAAAAAAATAGAACTCTATTTTAATTGTATTTTTATAGAACACAATATTAAAGAAAGCGGCTATTTCTTTTTTCTTATCAGGAGATTTTTGACCATACCATCTATTTTCAGTGCTTATTCCTTGCTTGTTCAGGGATCATTCCTTGTGGTATCCAGTGTACCATATGCAGTGACTGGGACTACACCATATGCAAGGAAAGCAAGTGAATTCATTTAGATGCTATGTTAACATATAATAAACATATAATAAATATATATAATATACATATTATATATAATATATAATAAACATATAATAAATAAAGCATTCAAAGAGACCTTAGAATGCTCACATAGTTGTTTATAGTATTTTTAATAATAATAACCAAAGGTGGGTATCAACTCCATATGATTATTAAGAGTGAAGGGGCTGGAGCAATAGCACAGCAGATAGGGCATTTGCCTTGCATGCAGCCAACCCGGGTTCGATTCCCAGCATTCCATATGGTCCCCTGAGTACCGACAGGAGTGATTCCTGAGTGCAAAGCCAGGAGTAACCCCTAAGCATTGCCGCGTGTGACCCAATAAGAAAAAATAAGAGTGAATAGCTATCATGTTATGGTCGCTTCATAAAACAGAATGTTCAAATGTTGTTGGTAATTGATAAAAATTAATAAAGTTTTTTATTATAAATAGCCTACATACAATTAGGGGCTTTTGGAAGTATTCAAGAATTCTTTTTATTAATTTTTATAATTTTGAATTCTTAATACATCAATTATTCCTCCTTTTTCTTTTCTCTTATCAATATCACCCCTTCCACTTTATTCCCTTTTCTCCTCTCTTTTTTCCTTTTCATTTATTTTATTGGATTGGAGAGAAAACACAGAAAATAAGTCACTTGCCTTCCATGTGGCCTGAATTCTGTCCCTGACACGCTATATAGCTCCAGGAGGCTGCCAAGGGTGTTCTCTGAGTACACAGACAGAAGCAAGCCTTGAGCACCACTGGGTGTGGCCCCCAAACATGTATATATCTCTTTCTGTGTGTGCATGCGCGTGTGTGTGTGAGTGTATGTGTATGATATGACATTGATATTGTTCTTATCATCTGATCTAAAAGAGAACACTTACTTACCTCTTCTGCATGGATGCCACACAGCTTGTTTCCTGCCAAGAGTTTGTTTTTCAGACTTTTATTCTGAGGAAAGAAACAGTTCAACTGTTAATAGGTTTTGAGATAACAAGAATATTATTAAATACATCACCAATGGGTCTTTATTTTTATCCACATATGTTATTTATAAGGTAATTGTGATAGATTATATAAATTGATCACTGTATTTTTAAATTTTATTTTGTATAAGATAATGTGCTGACAATGCTGTTAACATTTACATTCTTGGTATACAATTACTTCACCAAGCCATCATAAAAGGTCAAAGAACATCCTACTCATGATTTATTTTCTTTAAATAAAAGTGTTAAGAGTTATTTTAAATTCTAAATGCTTAAACATTACACTTTAAAGTTTATTGATGCTCAGAAGATTTTTGTTCTCCCAGGCCATATAATACACCACACACACTACGGTAATCCTCCAAACTTTTCATAACTGACCTCAATTCATGGACAAGTATTCTACTACTGACAAAAAGGCGAAGTATTCTTAGCCATGAGAATCTATACCATTTCGCCTATTAGATTACCTCTACCTTTTACATGCAGTATTTGCTGTTTTTTCCAAAATCTGGGATATCCATTTTACTTTATTTACTTATATTCATATTTTTGAGAACATTTGAGAACATGGTTTACAACAGTTTCCATATTTTTAATTTTATTGTAGCAATGATACTTCACTACCTCCATCATCAGAGCATCAATGACCATTGCCCCAAGATCCCATTTTTCTCCCTCTCTTTGTCACAGAATGCTGTTTTTGGCACTACCTCAGAACTTGTTTACACCAGGTACTATCTTACTCCTTGCTTTATTATTTTTATTTTTCACTTTAAGCAAGATCCTTTGGTGACAGCTTTTTATTTTTTTCCTTTTGACTCATTTCATTTAGCACAGCATATGCCACTCCATCTAGTTTGCAGTGAACTGCTTGATTTTATCTTTTCTCAGAGTTCAGTAGTTTCCCATTGTGCAAGTATAGCCCAATTGCATTATCTCTTCATTACTTTTTAGGGGCACATAAGGTGTTGCTAGATATTGACTATTGAAAATTATACTACAGTAAAAATAGTGTGCATAAGCCCTTGAGTACCAATAAATCAGTGTTTGGTGATAGTGGCCCAGGGGCAGAATAATTGGGTCATATGGAAGTTTTATGCTAAATTTTATGACATCTCCACACCATGTTCTGTAAGAGCAGGATGAGGCATAACTTGCACCATAAGTTTTGAGGGTCCCTTCTCCACTGCTTCCGCACAAATATTTGTTTCCCTTCTTGAAAGAGCTATTCTCACTAGTCTTAGATATATCATTGTTTAGTTTACATTTCTTTCATAATCAGTAATGATTAACACTATTCACATTGCCAACTGGCCTTTAGGACTTCTTGATCATTTGATCACTTGACTTCCTGTTAATCATCGATTTGCTCGAACGGGCACCAGTAACGTCTCCATTTGTCCCTATCACATGCTAGTGTAGCCCAATGGAATCTGTTTGTTCTAGGAACACGAAGAGCTTCAAATTGATCATTCAGGGTCTTGATGAAGAAGTGTGACCATCTGGTAGGTGGGAGGCCATGTGGTCTTTTGATGTCCTGTGAAATCCAGTCAGTAATGGTTCTAGTCCAGCAGTCATCTCCAAATCATATTACGTGTCCAGCCCATCTGATTTTCAATGCCTCGCCAAATGACACAGTGTCCCTGATTCTTGATCATCGATGGAGGTTGGAACTCCAGATTCATTCTCTCATTTGAGTGAAACATGATGCTCCAAGCATAACTCTCTCGATTCTTCTTTGGAGACCTGAATAGCGTTCTCATCCTGTTTTCGTAGGGCCCGGGTCTTAGAGGCATATGTGAATGCAAGAATAACAGTGGAATAGAAGAGATGTGCCCAGAGCCGGAGGTTCTTCGTCCACTTAGCTATTTCTTCGACTCTCTTGAAGGCATTCCAAGCCGCTCTCTTCCTCCTGAGCAAATCAGGTGCCAGGTCATCCATCATATTGACTTCTCGACCTAGGTACACATAACTGTTGCATTCGGAGATGTTCGTCCCGTTGAGAGTGAATGGAACATCAGGAACGAGACTGTTTCTCAAAAACATTTTCTTCATGAGATCCTGCTGTTTGTCCGACCTTTCCACACTCACGGTCGAAGTCGGCCAGCATTTGTGCCGCTTGGCTAATGTTTGCTGTTATTAGAATGACGTCATCAGCTAAGAGGGGGTGGTGTAGTTGCCGACCATCTATCTTCACTCCCATTCCAGTTGTCGCATGACATTTTCGAGGGTGGCACTGAAGAGTTCCGGTGAAATGATATCATCCTACCGAACCCCTCTCTTGACATCAATGATCACTTCATTGTAGAATGGTGAGATCCTGGTAGTGAATCCGTAATACAGCTCATGGAGGATCTTGATGTATTGAGTTTGAATGCCCTGATTGGCTAGGGCTTCAATGATTCTGTCTCAACAGATCAAAGGCTTTCTTTAAATCAATGAATCTTAGACAGAGTGGCATCTTGAACTCCCGAGAAACCTCAATGAGCTTGGTTATTGTGTGGGTATGATCAATCGTGCTGAATCCTTTTTGGAAACTGGCTTGCTAGTTGCCAAGCTCCAGAAAACTTTCCAGACCATGCGGCTGCTTTGCTTTAATACCCATCTTCCAGGATTTCCACACCATATTTGATAGGGCTCAAACATGAACCCTATCAAATATGGTTTGAACCATGGGAACACCTACAAGGGCGATTACAGGCCACCCCAAAAGCGTCTATCCCTCTCAGAGAGCCTGGCAAGCTACCGAGAGTATTCTGCCCGCAAGACAGAGCCTGGCAAGCTATCTGTTGTGTATTTGATATGCCAAAACCAGTAACTACAATGGGTCTCATTCCCTTGAACCTGAAGAAGTCACCAATACGGCAGCATTGAGAAGGATGAGGAAAGAGAGGCTGATAAAATCTCAAGGCCGAACTAGGCTGCCAAATGAAGAAAGACAAAAATGATTGGCCTTTAGGACTTAATGAAAACATATCTTGTCTATTTAGCTTCTCTCCATATTTCTTGTGAATTTGTTTTATTGTTATTGAATTTTGTGAAGGCACACATCCTGGAGTATAGCCTTTGTGACATAGATAGTGAGCCAATATTTATTCTCATTCACAGGCTTCCTTTCCATTTCAGGAATCATTTTTTTTTCCCTGACAAAGCTTTTGAGTTTACAAAGTCTCATTCATTTATTTCTGCTCTAAATGTATTTGCCAATGGAGCTGCTTCAATGACAACTTTTCTGAGGTCTATTGTGAACACTCTTTTCATTTGGTGTTCTACTGTTTTCTTTCCTCAATGTACTTTGTAGATATTCAACTTTGATGATAAAGTATTTAATCAATTTTAAATTAACATTTGTATACAGTGTAAGATGGTTCTTTCTTTTTTTTTTAATGAAGCTAATCATTTTTCTCAGCAACATAAAATAGACTTCTTGCTTCACTTCATACATCCATCATCTTTGTCATAGAAAAACTGTAAGGGCAAAACTGATGGCCTGACAGGTGGCAGAAATGAGAAAATTCAGGTAGGCCTCAGGTTCACTTTCTGGAACTGAAACAGTTTTAGTTTCCCAGAAGTCAAACAATGTGAAAGTAGCCAACCTGAACTCAACTGAAAAATTCTTGGGGCCCTGCAAGTGGGCTCAATTAATTATAATGTGCCAGAACCCACAGAGAATACATGCAGCAAGCTACAAGCCTATCAGCATCCAACACATACCCTAGACACTTGTTAAAGACCCTTATTCTGTAACTAAGTAAGATTTTTCTGAAAAATTAAGGCATGCAGTGCTTATGTAATCAAGCCCTATATAAATTGCTTGCACTTGAAGGTTGGGGTCACTCTCAAGAAACCACTCTGTGGATGAGATAGTTGACACCAGTTAACTGGAATAAAATTCCTTTTGCCTTTGCACTGACTTGTGTGTTCCTCCGTCCATCTCTTCACTTGAGAATCTGTAAACCTGGGTATAACAAAACTTTTCATTTTAGATAGGAAAGCTGAGTATTTCATTTCTTTAGGACAAGGATTGGGAGGTAGCTTAAAGGGCTGAGCATATGTTTTGCATGTAGAAAACTCAGGTTTTATTCAGTTTCTAGCACCACCTGGTCCTTTGTGCACTGCGGGCAGGGGCTCTTAAGCACAGGAACAGTTGCTGGCTCTAAGGAATACTACTAGGTGTCTACACACATGCATGTATGCTCTCTCTCTCTCTCTCTCTCTCTCTCTCTCTCTCTCTCTCTCCCCCTCTCTCTCTCTCACACACACACAAAGTTAAAAAAAAAACAGGATTTAGAGTGTACTCTACATGGGCAAAGTCATGGTAGAGTACAACTCATGCATAAATAACTCTAAAGAGAGTCAATTTATGAGCACCATGAGCAAATTGGATAAAATTTATGCAAAGTAAATGAATAAATGAATGAATATATTGAATTTAAGAGTTCTTCATTCACAATTCCCTCCTGATTTTGTACATTTTTCCCTTCTCTAGTGCAGTGAGGCATACAGCTGCTTTGGTTTGAAAAGATTCTTTGTCTAATTTTTCCTTGTTCCATAAAAGATGAAATTATAAAAAACTTATTTAGAATCTCAATACCATGAAATGCCTTCCATAAATTAGTAGTATTTATTTATGTTATTCATACAAGTGACATCCTTTTACAAATATTTGTACTCATCTTGTAACAGTTTTCAATGAGAATTTAATGTATATATATCCCATATTTAAAAAATTGTAAACTATAATAAAGTGGTATACATTTATATCTTAAATGCTTTGTTGCTCTATTTTAGTTTGAAAAATAATAGTTTTCATTCTAGTCACATATTTATAATATTAGATAAATGATTTTTTTGTTTTTGTTTTTGTTTTTTGCTTTTTGGGTCATACCTAGTGATACTCAGGGATTACTCCTGGCTCTGTACTCGGGAATTACTCCTGGTGGTGATCGAGGACCATAT